TTGACTGAAGCTGCGATGGCGGAAGACTGGAACTCTTTGGAAGAGCTTGTTGGAAAGACTACCGCTGAACTGGATCGAGCCAATCGTTCGCTACGCAAAGAGATCGCTGCCCGAACTGAAGTGGCCACGGCGCTAAGGGACACCAATTCAACGTTACACGCCCTCATGCAGCATGTTCCCGACTCAGTGATCACGGTTGACCGGCAGGGGACAGTGCTGTTCGTGAATCGTGGACTGCAGCCGTGCGGCAGGACGGTGGAGATTGGATCGCACTTTTTAAGATACCTTCCGAAGATAACTCACGCTTGGTACAGGGATGCTTTGGAGAAAGCATTCACCGATAGGGTGAGTTCGCAGATCGACGATGTTGCGATCGGATCGAGCTACTGGCAGATGCGTCTGGTTCCCATTCAAGAAGATCAAACAGTGCGGTCGTGCCTGGTTATCTGCACCGAAACTACACAACGAAAACGAGCTGAAGAAAAACTGCGACTGCGTGACGCTGAGCTAGCGCACGCCTCGCGTGTGAACACCGTAGGCGAAATGATGACAGGGGTTGCCCACGAGATCGCTCAGCCGCTTGCCGCCATTTCGAACTACTCGGCAGTGCTTGATAACACCCTGGGGCGCAATGGGAAGTCCGAGGCACAGCGTGCAGACCTTGTACGTGAGTCGAACAAGAAGATACGGGAGCAAGCGGATCGAGCTGCGTCAATTGTCACGGGCTTCCGTAACTTCCTTTCGAATGCCTCTCCGCAAATGTCGGTCGTCGACCTGCACGATCTGGTCCACGAAGCCGTGGAGTTGATCCGAGTCACCATGAAGGATGCGAACGTGGATATTCAATTGATTCTCTCCGCTGCTCAGTCGAAAGTGCGCGTAAACCCGACAGAGATTACGCAAGTACTCGTGAACTTGTTGCGAAATTCCTGTGAGGCGGTTGCTCAGCAGGTGGCTACTACTCGCAAGATAAGCCTTTCGACTGTGCTGGATGGCGAAAACATTGTGCTCAGCGTCACCGACAGTGGGCCTGGAGTCGGTGTCGATACGGCAGGAAGGATGTACGATCCTTTCTTTACAACGAAACCAGAGGGAATGGGTCTGGGGTTGGCGATTTGTCGAACCATCGTATCTCGTCACGGTGGTCAATTGTGTCACGTTGCTGACATGCCGCGTGGGGCAACTTTCAATGTGGTACTTCCTTTGGCAAAGGACGGCGGAGTATGACAATCGAGACACCAACAGTTTTTGTGATTGATGACGATCGGGTTGACCGAGAGTCGGCGTGCGCTTTGATTGCTTCCGCAGGTTTCGAGGTTCGCAGTTTCGAAGCGGGCACGCAATTCTTGGAGCGGTGCGACGGTAAAGCCCCGGGTTGTGTCGTCACCGACTATCGGATGGCCGGGCTCGATGGCTTGGAACTACAAGAGCGGATTGCAGCAAGAAACTGGCTGTTGCCGGTGATCGTCGTCAGTGGCTTCGCTGACATCCCAGCGACGGTTCGCGCGATGAGAAGTGGTGCGGTTACTTTATTGGAAAAACCGTATCAAGAGAGCGAACTCATCGAAGCGATTTCGCGTGGGATCGAACTTAATGCGAAGTGGCGATTAAGAGCCCGTCAAAAGGAGTTGATTCGCGCGAAGTTCGACTCCCTTACTTCTGGCGAGAAAGATGTGTTGGAACTGCTGCTGAATGGCCTGCCCAACAAGCAGATCGCACGTCGGCTCGAGATTGGTCTGCGCACCGTAGAACGTCGCAGACATCTCGTTCTGAAGAAGATGGGGGTCGACACGGTCGCTATGGTGGCTCGATTGATCTCAGTGATCGAAAAGCCGTCGCTGAGCCTGCCGATCTACCAGGAGCCAGGTAGCTCAAGCCTTTTTACTGGCAATCACTTCCTTACCCATGAAAGGGCGTAGTACTTTAGGAACCACAATCGACCCATCGGCTTGTTGATAGTTTTCCATCACGGCGATCATCGCGCGACTCGTGGCGATGGCCGTGCCGTTGAGCGTATGGACGAGCTTGGTGCCTTTTTCGCCCTTGGTTCTGTAACGGATGTTCAACCGACGGGCCTGGTAATCGGTACAGTTCGAGGTGCTGGTCACCTCGCCGTACTCGCCGCCTTCGCCGCGGCCGGGCATCCAGGCTTCGAGGTCGAACTTGCGATAGGCCGGTCCGCCAAGATCGCCGGTGGCTGTGTCGACCACGCGGTAGGGAATTTCCAATTCGTCGAACAGCCGACACTCCAGTTTGCAGATCTGGTCGAGCATTGTGTCGCTTTCCTCGGGCAGCGTGAAGGCGAACATTTCGACCTTGGTGAACTGGTGCACCCGGTACAGCCCGCGTGAGGCCCGACCGCCGGCGCCGGCTTCGGTGCGATAACAGTGGCTCACGCCACAGAGCTTCAGCGGAAGCTCTTCCTGATCGACCGTTTGCCCCGAGTAGAGCCCGCCGAGGGTGATTTCGGCTGTGGCGATCAGGCTCAGGTCGGTTTCGGCAATGCTGTAGATTTGGGTTTCCGGCCCGCGGGGAATGTAGCCGGTGCCTTGCAGAATTTCATTGCGGGCCATGTCGGGGGTCATGGTGGCCGTGAAGCCCTCCGACATAATGGTCTCGAGAGCGAACCGCTGCAGAGCCATGTCCAACAGCACGGCGTCGTTCTTCAAGAAGTAGAACCCATGACCGGCGACCCGTGCGCCGCCTTCGAAGTCCAACAGGTCGAGGGCTTCGCCTAGTTCGACGTGGTCCTTGGGTGTGAAATTGAACTCCCGGATGGGGGTTACACCACGTTGGATCTCCAGGTTCGCCTTGTCGTCGGCTCCGATGGGAGCCGCTGGGTGCGAGAGATTGGGGATGCTGCGGAGTAGCTCCTCGACCTCCGCGTTCATGGCGTCGATCTCGCCACTCATGGCGGTCACTTGATCGCGCAATTCGCGGCCCTGGGTTTTGCGGGCTTCGCGCTCTTCGGCGTCTTTGGCCTTGCCGATGGACTTGGAGACTTCGTTCGCCTGCCGGTTGAGCTGTTCCAGCTCTTGCTGTTTGGGGCGGCGATCATTCTCGAGGGCCACGAGTCGATCGATGTCGACCTCGACGCCACGATTCTTGCAGTTGGTTTTGACTTCTTCCGCGTGTTCCAGAATGTATTTGCGATCTAGCATGGCTTCTTGCGTTTCGAGCTCCGCGACACGAACGAGGACGGTTCCACCGTTCGAAGATTTTTAAAGATAGTGCGACGATCTGGCTCAGCTACCGGCGAGTTCCTGCCACAGCCGAGCACTGGAGCGAATCCCGCGATGGAAATCGCCCAGGTTGAACTTTTCGTTCGGGCTGTGCGTGTTGTCGTCGTTCAGTCCCCAACCCAACAGTAAGGTATCGACTCCCAGTTCATCGTGAAAGGTCGAGACGACCGGAATCGACCCCCCTTCGCGAATGTTTACGGGAGCCTTGCCGAACCCATGCTCGATGGCCCGCGATGCGGCCGCCATGTACGGGCTATCCAGTGGCACCACCACGCCCGCGGCACCGTGGAAGTCGATCAATTCCATCGTGAGCCCCGATGGTAGCTGCGCCTCCAAATACTTGCGGAGCGAATCGGTCAGCCTCTTGGGATCTTGCTTGGGAACCAGGCGGAAGCTGAACTTGGCGGTGGCCGTGGCCGGAATCACTGTCTTGGCCCCCTCGCCCTGATAGCCAGAGCTGAGCCCACAAACGTCGTAGGAAGGGCGAGCCCAGCGTCGCTCCAGGTTCGTATATCCCTTCTCGCCGCTGCTGCCCTTGATGCCGAGCTGCTCTTCGAAGGCTTTCTCGTCGAACGGGAGTTCGGCAAATTGCTGGCGTTCGTCTTCCGTCAATTCGACCACTTCGTCGTAAAAGCCGGGCACTTGAATGCGGCCGTCGCCGTCGATCAGAGAGGCCAACATCCGCGCGGCTGTCGTTGCGGGATTCGTGACTCCACCGCCGAAAGTCCCAGAGTGCAGATCCTGCTTGGGGCCCCTCAAACGGAGTTCATAGTAGGCGATGCCCCGCAGCCCGTAGGTGATGGCTGGTTGACCCGGGCCGAACTGGCTCGTGTCGCTGATCACGACGATGTCGCATTTCAGTTGGCTGCTGAACTGGTTTAGAAACGGTCCCAGATTGGGGCTGCCGACTTCTTCTTCGCCTTCGATTACATACTTCAACTGCACGGGCAACTTGCCCTGGCTCTTTATCCACGCTTCGGCGCTTTTCACATGTGTGAACAGTTGTCCCTTGTCGTCGGTGGCTCCCCGAGCGTAGACGTTGCCGTCGCGTCGCGTGGGTTCGAAGGGGGGAGAAATCCATTCCTCGAACGGATCGGGGGGCTGCACGTCGTAGTGGCCATAGATCAAGACCGTCGGTGCGCCGGGCACCGGTTCCGATTCGGCAAACACAACCGGGAAGCCTTCAGTCTCAACAAGCTGCGTCGAAAAACCAAGGTCGCGAAACTGTGTGGCCAGCCACTCGCCGGCGTTATGTACATCCTTCTTGTATTTGCTATCAGCGCTCACGCTAGGAATACGCAGCCATTGGCATAGCTCGTCTTCGAACCGCTCGGCATGTTCGCTGAGATACGCGTCGATATCGGCCATCGGGCGACCCTATCTCTTGGGGGGAGAAAACCGGAAATTGCCGAGGAACACATCGACGCTCACCTAAATGGTGGAGAACCTGTGTCGCATTCGGCGAGGTGTGCAATATACTGATTTGCAGGCCCAGCCACCAATGAGTTGGGCGGAGGTAGAAAACCCAACTTGCGAGATCGAACCGTGTCCGATCATCCAAATAACGAGCCCGATGAATTCTCGGTCGCTGTGAAGGCTCCTGCTGAGGACGCGACGGAGAAGAAGAGCAAGGACCGTGGCTCGAAGCCTAAGCGACAACCGCGATACAACGTGATTCTGTGGGACGACAACGATCACACCCACGAATATGTGATCTTGATGTTGAAGACGTTGTTCGGCCACGATCGGCAGCGGGGTATGCAACTGGCGATCGAGGTCGACACCCAGGGGAAGGTCATCGTGCTGACCACCACCCGCGAGCATGCCGAGCTGAAGCGAGACCAGATTCACGCTTTCGGCAAAGACGACCTGATTGCCCATTGTGCCGGCTCGATGAGCGCCACGATCGAACCAGTTCCCAGCGATTGAAGGACATCGAACACCTTGGGGTATCCGGGGGTGGGCCGTGGCCCGGGCTCGCGGTACATTCAAGGTTTGTCATCCGCGGGAAATTCCCACCAGTTTCCCGCTTCGCTCCAGGCGTACCGTTCTCCGATTCGATTTACCCGACATGCCGCAAACCAAGCTACGGACGGTGACCCTAGGCTGCAAAGTCAACCAGTACGAGACCGAGTACGTCCGTCAGGGGTTGACCAGTGCAGGGTATCGCGATGCAGGGCCCGATGAGCCGGCCGACCTGTGCATTGTGAACACCTGCACGGTCACTTCCGAAGGCGATGCGAAGAGCCGCCAGACGATTCGTCGGCTGGGGCGTCGCAACCCCGATGCGCGGATCATCGTGATGGGCTGTTACGCCACCCGGGCTCCCGAGGAAGTGGCCTCGTTGCCGGGCGTGGTGGAAGTGGTCAAGGACAAGCGGGAATTGCCCGACTTGTTGGGCCGCATGGGCGTGGTCGATGTGCCCACCGGCATCAGCGAGTTCGGGAATCGACATCGCGCGTTCGTGAAAGTGCAAGACGGCTGCATCTTGCGATGTAGCTTCTGCATCATCCCTTCGGTACGCCCCGGGCTGACGAGTCGCCCGACCGAGGACATTGTGCAAGAGGTGCAACGACTCGTGGAGCACGGACATCGCGAAGTGGTGCTCACTGGAATCCACCTGGGCCACTACGGTGTTGATTTGAACAAGGGCAAGCCAAAGCAGGATTGGGTGCGACTGGCACAGTTGCTCGAGCGGTTGGCCCAGCTTGACGGCAACTTTCGCATTCGCCTTTCCAGCATCGAAGCCACCGAGCTGACGCGGGACTTACTGGCGGTGATGGCGCGACATCCCGAGCGGATCTGTCCGCACTTGCACGTTTCGATGCAGAGCGGCTCCGACGCGGTGCTGCGACGGATGCGTCGACGTTGGGGGAGCCGGCGGTTTGTTGATCGGTGTTTGCTCGCCCGAGAGATGATCGATCGGTTGGCGATCACCACCGACATCATCGTGGGATTTCCCGGTGAGACGGAGGCTGAGTTTGAAGCGACCTGTCGTGTATCGGAAGAGGTGAACTTCTCCAAGATCCACATCTTCCCCTTCAGCCCCCGTCGCACCACGCCGGCAGCCACGATGGAAGACCAGGTTGACCCCGCGGTGAAAGCCGAACGTGCGCGGCGTTTGGCCGAACTCGAACAGCAACTTCAACAGCGGTACTTCGCCAGCTTGGAAGGCATGAACTTGCGAGTGCTGGTCGAGTCACCCGTCGAAGATCGGCCCGGCTGGGCAGTTGGAACTTCTTGTCGCTACGCCCCGGTGGAAATCCCGGATGTTGAAGTCGGCCAGTTCGTCGATGTCGTCGCCGGCCCCATCGCAAACCAACGCATCCAAGCCGCCGAGTTGATCCTGTAGCGTGCGTGCTGGCACGCACAAAAGGTCTCGGCAACGGAATTCATCTTCTGACAACCGCTCTCCCCGTGTGGTTTGAGTTGCCCATGGTCCTTTCGCGTGTGCGAGCACACGCGTCACAAGTGGTTGGCCTCTATGGTTTTAGGTGCCTTTCGGACGCGATCTCTCGCTGGCTGAAATCCGCCCTGGTTGGGGTCGAGGGGTTTTGTTAGTATCCCGCCCTCACTCGTCGATGGCTGCCGTTCGGTGGCCGGAGAACTGCTTTTCGAAACCAATTCCCTTTTCGGTCCTGGACCTCCGCTGATGCTGCGGCTGGTGGTCTCCGGTGCGTAGGTGCTGGAAGACTGACGCTGTCGGCTGTCGGTGATTCCCGGGTGCATTGCCGAGGAGCTTTCGCACATGCAATCAGTCGTCGTTCGACGTACCGTCTTCGCCATGGTTTTGCTCGGTCTCTTTTGCACGAGCGTTTCTGCGGCACCCGTGTGGCAGCGACTTAGCCTGTTTCGCCATATCGATGCGGAAGAGGGTAAGGATTATCCGCTGACCGAGGAGTGCGGTCCCTGGCTGATTCTTGCTGTCACCTTCTTGGGTGAGAACGCTGAACAGCAGGCGAAAGATTTGGTGTACGAGATTCGCAAAGAGTACAAGCTTCCGGCTTACACCCATGCGATGAACTTCGATTTTAGCCAAGGTGTGCAGGGCCGCACGGTGAATCAATACGGAAAGCCGGCCACGATGAAATACCGTCGTGGCAAGAACTACGAAGAGATCGCCGTGCTGGTGGGTGACTTCCCTGCGGTCGACGATGTGGATGCTCAAAAGCTATTGAAAGACTTGAAGCTATGGGATCCCGAAACCATGCAGCCCAGCAAGGACGACCCCTCGGCCCAACCGCTGGGGCGTTATCGCGAGGTGCAGAAGCAAGTACTCTCGGCCATCGACGAGTACAAACGCGATATGGGAATGAAGACGAGTAAGACGGCCCGCGAACGATTGCGGCACGGTCCTTTGTCTCATGCCTTCATCACGACGAACCCGTTGTTGCCGCGGGAGTATTTCGTTCCCTCAGGGGTCGATCCCCTGGTGGTGCGCATGAACGAACAAGTGGAGCACAGCCTGCTCGACTGCCCTGGGCAGTACACCGTGCAGGTGGCCACGTTCAAAGGTGAAGTGGTGGTCGATCCTAAGGAGATTGCCGCCGTGGAAAGCGGAGTTCAAGAGCTGAACTCCGGTTTGGCCGAAGCGGCTCAAAAGGCCCACGACCTGACCGAGGCCCTAATTGCCAAGGGATATCAGGCCTATGAGTTCCACGATCGCTACATGAGCATCGTTACGGTGGGCAGCTTCAACTCGGTGGGAACACCCCGGGCCGACGGGAAGATCGAGATCAATCCTCAGATCCACCGCATCATGGAAACCTTTGGTGGCAAACAGACCGGCGGCGCGGTTTCTCCCAAGACAATTGCCGGAGTTGCGCTCGACGTGCAGCCGGTTCCCGTCAAGGTTCCGAAGCAATCGATCAGCGCGATGTATTCGCGTAGCGGTGGTTTGAGCCGGTAGCCCGCTTGAAAGCGAGCCGGGATTCTCCACAATGGCACGCTTGTGGAACCGATTCGCATTCAAACCCTGGCGCGCCTGTGTCTGCTTCTCCATCGTTAGTGCTCGGTACGCACAATCGCAAGAAGGGCCTCGAACTGGTCGAGCTGCTTGCTCCCGTGGGGATTGATGTGCAGACGCTCGAGGCTTTTCCGGATTCGATCGAGGTCGAGGAGACAGGGACCACGTTCGCGGAGAATGCCGCCCTGAAGGCCAGCGGGCAGGCCAAACATCTGGGGCAGTGGGTGCTGGGTGAAGACAGTGGATTGGTGGTCGATGCGTTGAAAGGGGCCCCCGGCGTCTATTCGGCCCGATATTCAGGCCCCAACGCCACCGACGAAGAAAACAACCAGCATCTCCTGGCCGAGCTGGGCGACACCCCGCTGGAGCGACGCACGGCCCACTACGTGTGTCATGCCGCGCTGTCGAATCCCGCCGGTGAGATCGTGGCCACCCGGGAAGCGTACTGCAATGGTCGAATTCGTTTCGAAGAGGCCGGCACTGGGGGCTTCGGCTACGATCCGCTGTTCGAGATCGTGGAATACCACCGCACCTTCGGTGAGTTGGGCCCGAAGGTGAAGGCCTGCCTCAGCCACCGCTCACGTGCGATTCGGCAGATCGTGCCGGAGATCGTTCGATTGTTGCGAGCGGGTACCGCCGCCGAGTGACGCTACTGGCGAATCGCAATCAGGCCAGTTCGCTTGCCAGTTGGGCCATGGTCTCTTTTTGTCGTTGTTCAACAAAGCGGCGTGCTTGGGCGGCTTTGGCTTGAGCCGCCTCAGGATTGGTGGCCATCTCCAACACGGTCGGCACGATTTGGGCGACTTGGGCTTCGTTATCGAGATCGAAGAGCCAATCGCCTAGCCCGATGTCTTCCCACATGTAGCCTTTCGAGGTTTGCTCGGCCCAGCGGCAAACAATGGCGGGGATACCGTGCCCGATGCACATGATGGGCGAGTGCATCTCGTTTCCGAACAGGCCCGCACTACGGGTGTAGGTGCTGATTGCCTCGCCGGTGAGCCAGTAGTTGGGTCGCCATGCCACACGGGCACGAACACTACTGGGCAGCTTGTCGAGCAGTAAGTCTTTGCCGACTTGCATCTGGGTTTGATCTTCAGGACAGATCAGCACCTTTAGGTCGGTCTGCTGGACAACCTCGACGATGGCCTGCCGCAACTGAGCGTGATCGTGTTCTTTCATCGCTTCGTTACGGGCATGCTTCACCGGATCGAGCTTGCGGTTCTTTGAGGGGATCGTCCAGTACGGCGTGTACCGCAGCCTGGGGATACAGCAGAGGAACTTCTTAGGTTTCAGTTGGTGTTGGCGGAGGAACGCTGTGGCCTTCTCGTCATCGCGGAGGTCGCAGGCGAAGGCCCCGTCGGGGGCGAATTCCATCACCGGGCAAGTGCAGCCCTGGGCCTTAGCAAAGGCCAAAGATTTTGAATCGCGGAAGAATACGAATTCAGCCCGGCTGAGCACTCCGATCGTTCGGTCGAGTACCTCTTGTGATGTGGCGACCGTGGAGGTCGATTGCTTTGGTGGAAGCGTGATGCCGTAAATGCCGTACGGCTGGCCAGTCGCTTCGTGCCAACGCACAACATCTTTTTCGGCCACCAGCGACGCACCCGAACTGTGCAGCAGGAAGTCGCACAGTTCGAACGCTTCGCTCAGCTCAGCTTTGCCTTGGGCAATCTTCAGCTTTGGAAAACGAGCCAACAGTAGCTCATCAACGCCGTTGTCCAGCTTGCTTGGCCAGAGATAGACTTCTGCCTCGGGAACATACTGCTCCAACAATCGCAGAACCCCGGGGGTGTGAGCGATGTCGCCAATGTTTACGGTTTGCCACGATGAACGCAGTAAAATCTTCGGCGGAGATTCGGGGCTCTTTCCCGTGGCGATTCTTGTTCCGGATACGGCCGCCAGCAGAGATGTGGCGATCGACGAGGCAAGAAAGCGGCGGCGGTGCATGGGGAGTGACCAGCGAGGGGCAGGCGATTGTAAGACAATAAGTCCTATCTTACCCGCAAGTGCACCGTGTCACCGACTACGGGCACCAAAAGCCAAGCCTGATTGAGGGTTTTTAACGCACCGGAGCAGAGACAAAGCAGCGTAGCGACTTGCTCTGCATTTTGAAGGATTGGTTAGGCTTGAGGCGTGGGCCGTCGAAGTGCGGGAAGATATCATTCGGATATTCGGCCGCGGTGTCGATGAACAGCGACCAGTCGATGGCTCGGGCTGCTTCGGAGAGACGGAACTCCTGGGCGTGGTAGCCCGCGTGGAGACAGACCAACACGTGACGAGGGTCTTCCTCTTGTTCTTCTTCTGGCGATGCGGTGAGTAAGTACTGCAGGCTGAGTTGCTGGCTGCTCCAGTCGATGACGTGTCCCTCGGGACCGCACCACATAACATCGGGCAGGGCGGTCACCTCGTTAATGTCGCCGTGCAAGAACTCTTTGCGACGCATGACCGCATGGTTGCGGCGGAACGCGATCAGGGCTTGGGTGAATCGCAAGAACTCTTCGTAGCGGTCGGTCAATCGCCAATCGAACCACGACAGAGGCCCGTCTTGGCAATAGGCATTATTGTTGCCTTGCTGAGTTCGACGGCATTCATCGCCGGAGACCATCATGGGAACGCCCATGCTGAGCATGAGGGTGCTCATCATGTTCTTGATTTGACGCGAGCGCACTTCCCGAATCGCTTTCCGTCGGGTGGGGCCTTCCTCGCCGTGGTTGTCGCTGTAGTTGTTGTTGTCACCGTCGCGGTTATTCTCGCCGTTGGCTTCGTTGTGCTTGTGCGAGTAGCTCACGAGGTCGTTCATCGTGAAGCCGTCGTGCGAGGTGATGAAGTTAATGCTGTGATAGGGGCGCCGTCCCCCTGGTTGGTATAGATCGCTCGAGCCCGAGAGTCGGGTGGCGATGGCGCCCAAGGTGCCCGGGTCTCCACGCCAGAACCTGCGTACGTCGTCGCGGAACCGGCCGTTCCATTCCGACCACCGCAGTTGTGCAAACGAACCCACCTGGTAGGCCCCGGCAGCGTCCCAGGCTTCGGCGATGATCTTCGTGTCGGCCAACAAGGGGTCTTCGCTGATCAACTCGATGATGGGCGTATTAGGAACCAGTTCGCCGGTACGGTCGCGGCTGAGGATCGAGGCCAGGTCGAAACGGAAGCCGTCGATGTGGTAGTTCAGCACCCAATGGCGGAGGCAGTGGAAGATCAGCTCGCGAACGATCGGGTGATTTCCGTTGACCGTGTTTCCGCAGCCCGAGTAGTTGCGGTAGTCGCCCGTCTGTGGGTCGAGCATGTAATAAACGTCGTTCTCCAGCCCCTTGAAGCCAAAGGTCGGCCCTAGCTCGTTTCCTTCGGCCGTGTGATTGAACACCACGTCGAGGATGACTTCGATGCCCGCCTCGTGCAGGGCACGAACCATCTGCTTGAACTCGTGAACTTGCGCACCGGGCACATTGCTGGCCGCGTAACCGCGGTGGGGTGCAAAGAACGCCATGGGGTCGTAACCCCAGTAGTAAGGGCGATCGGCCGAGCCCCCGAAGAAATGGTTCGTGGGGAATTCATTCACCGGCATCAGCTCGACTGCGGTAACGCCCAGCGAGACCAGGTAGGGGATCTTTTCGATGACCCCCAGGTACGTGCCGGGATGTTCGACCCCCGAGGTGCGTGACTGGGTGAAACCCTTTACGTGCATCTCGTAGATGACGGTATCGGCCAGGTCGCGCTTGAGGTGGCGGTCGCCCTGCCAGTCGAAATGCTCGTCGATCACCACGCACTTGGGCGGGCGAACCACGCCGTCGGTGGCTTTGAGGAACTCTCCGGCCAGTGCCAGGGCGTAGGGATCGATCAGTCGGGCACGCCCATCGAAGCGATCGCCCGCCTGGGGGTCATAAGGGCCATCGGCCTGAAAATGATAGAGTTGCCCGATGGTGGCCTCGGGTACAACGACGCTCCACACACCACCCCAGCGGTCTTCGTGCGGATCGAACTCGATGACGCGAGCGGGGTCGCGATCGTTAACATCGTTGTAAAGCAACAGCCGCATCGCTGTGGCAGAGCGGCTGAAGACGGAGAAGCGAACTCCGTTGCCATTGGGTGTGGCACCATAGGGCAACGGATAGTTGAACTGAAGCGAACTTTGCGTTTGGGCCATCGTCTCTCCAACTTCACGGCCGACGATCCGGCCCTAATTGTGTGACTTCATGCGTGATTCTCAGGATTAAAATCACGCGTGAAATCACACACTGACTGCAAGACAACTTTCTATCGGAACATCTCGTGGCAGTCTTTACAGCTTTGATCGAGCGCCTCGACGGCCGAGTTTGCGGCATCTTCGTCATCAGCCATAGCAGCCGCACTTAAGGCACGACAGGCCTCGCGCATGTCGTCGCAGAGGGCCATCCACTGCTTTTCGCCTTCCTCGTCACTGGTGAAATCGAAATCGTGCCGCACGGCTTGGGCTGCCGCGGCGAGGGTGGCCGAGTACTGCGTGATCGTATCCTGGTTCCGTTTCAGTCGGCGGACGCTGCGGCGGAGCTTGCTGTTGAGCAACCCGACTTCTTCCATCAAAGGGTACATCGCGACCACTGGGTCCCAGGTGGGCATTTCCGATTCGCTCGTTTCGCCTTTGATGCTTGCCTGCAAAGTGGCGAGACCCTGCTGTGCGGATTCGAGCTCTTCTGCTTCTGCGAGTGCGGAGGCGGCAACGAAGATGGCCGGGGCAGTCTCCTTCAGGTCATGGTCGTCGTCGTGCAGGGCCAAATGTTGGGCGAGCACCACCACGGTGGCCGCGTTCATTTCGAAGGTTTCCAACTTTTCTTCGAACGTTTCTTCGTCGGCCAACGTCTCGGAGATCTCTTCCATGCATTCGTCGAGCTGTGCGATGAGGTCTTTGGCCGGGGCGTAAGCCGAGACTTTCTCGGGAGCGGTTGGCTCGCCAAAGGCCAAGTGGGCCAGGGGCCATAGAAGGGTCGAAACGACCAGGAGGGCAGTCGCTTGCATGGCACGTCGGTTGAGCATCGTCGGAAGCGTCCTCGGGTGGTGGGCGAACATAGTCCGGAGCGGTCGTCTGCCGCCGCTGGTATTACGATCGTAGCACACGCCGCGCTGACACTGAATCACCCCCAATGGCGTTTAAGGGCGGTTTTCGCGAGAAAACTGAGGCGTTTGACACTCCTTCGGTGCGACTCGTAGAATCGGGGCCCACCCCACGACCAGGAGCGCCTCGATTCTCGATGGAAAAGATTGGGTATAAGGATGCCGGCGTCGATCTCGACGTCTATCAGGAGTCGATGTCCCGTCTGGGCCGGCTCTTGTATCGCACGCACACGCCACGTGTGATGCCGCTGCCCGGCGGATTCGCCGGCTTGTTCCAGCTCGATTTCGAGAGCCCGCTGTTCAAGCGACGCTACGAAGATCCGGTGCTGATCGCCTGCACCGACGGGGTTGGAACCAAGCTCAAAGTGGCCATCGAAGCCGGCCGGCACGACACCGTGGGCATCGACTTGGTGGCGATGTGCGTCAACGACTGCATTTGCTGCGGGGCCGAACCGCTATTCTTTCTCGACTACGTCGCCATGTCGCGTGACGATCCCGAGCAACTCGAGGCCATCGTCGAAGGCATCAGTCGCGGCTGCGTCGAAAGCGACAGCGCGTTGCTGGGCGGCGAAACGGCGATCATGCCCGACGTGTATCACGAGGGTGAATATGATCTGGCCGGGTTCTGTGTGGGCGTGGCCGACCGCAAACGATTGATCAAGGGCGATGCGATCACACCGGGCGATACGATCATTGGAATTGCTTCCTCAGGGTTGCATTCCAACGGGTATAGCCTGGTGCGGAAGATCGTTTTCGAGAAGGCGGGGCTTTCGGTCGACGACGAGATCCCGGGACTGGGGCAAACCGTTGGTGATGTGCTGCTGACTCCCACCCGCATCTACGTTCGCGCCGTGCGGGGTATTCTGAATCACTATAAGAAAAAGCATGTCGTGCACGGCATCGCGCACATCACCGGGGGTGGGCTGCTGGAAAATGTCGAGCGAATTGTGCCCGAGGGGTGCCGCGCGGTGTTCGAGCCCGACAGTTGGCCTGTGCCGCCGGTCTTTCCCTGGTTGCAAGAACTGGGTAACGTCGACCAAAGCGAAATGGAACGGGTCTTCAATATGGGCCTGGGGCTAACGCTGATCGTTAGCGACTACTTCGCCGACAGCATTCGACACCAGTTGGCCGAATATGGCCTGGAAAGCTGGACCATCGGTACCGTGACCGAGGGACCCGGCGACGCGGTGTGGAGTGATCAGAAGTAGCGAGCGTGATGCCACTACTTCTCCGCGGTTCGCACCAGCGCGTTTGAGTCCTTGTCTTTTTGTTGGGCCACCGTTCGCGAGGGGCCGGCTCGGTCGAGTTCTTCGAAGAGTTGGCCGCGGGTGTACATCTCATTCAGCACGATCGGTTCATTCGGGCGGCCTGCAGGGAAGATAGCCAGCACGGGAATCTGCCCGTTGGTACCGATGAGGGCCTGCAGCAGTTGTTTCTCGTCTTCAGGCCATGAGGTCATATCGGCAACCATGGCGACGATGCCGTGCTGATCGACATACTCGCGGGTGGGCTTCGTATTCAGCACCAACCGCTCGAGCAGTTTGCAGTTGGGGCACCAGGCAGCGGTGAAGTCGACCATCACCGTCTTGTTGTCGGCGATTAACTCGTCGAGCTTCTTGCGGTTGAAGGGCAGCCATTGCAAAGAATCTTCGTCCGCAGCGACTTCGACCGCAGCTTCATCGGTGTTTTCAAGCTGGGCGGCGATTTGCTTGGTGAGCATGGCGTTGTAACGCTCCTGCATCACCCCGTCGAACCAGCGGAAGCTGAACAGCACGACCAGTACGGTGAACGCAACGGCGGCGGCCCAAGCTCGAATGCGGGCATCGAACGGTGCGGTACCGGGCGTGCGACCAATCCACCAGCAGGCGGCCCACAGGCCGAATAGTAAGGCCAAGGTCGGCAGCACGGTATGCGGCGACAGCTCGGCGATGACCGTGAGCAAATAGATGACGGTGGCCATCAACAGGAAGCCCATCAGATTCTTGAACGTGTCCATCCAGGCCCCTGGCTTCGGCAAGAAGCGGATCAGGCTGGGGAACATGCCAATCAGCAGGTAAGGGCTGGCCATGCCGACACCGATGCTGCCGAACACGGTCATCGTGATGGGGGCCGGTTGCTTCATGGCCCAAATCAGGGCCGTGCTCATCAACGGGCCAGTGCAGGGGGTGGCCAAAATGGTGGTGATGATCCCTTTGGAAAACGCGCCCACGCGCCCTTCACGCGAGGCGATTTGTTGGGCCGATCCACTGGCAGCAAAACCCGGGATGGGCAATTCCCAAACGCCGAGGAAACTCAGCCCCATCACAAACACCACCGCAACCATCACAATGTTGAACGTGAGACTGCTGAATTGCTGGCCCCAACCAATGCCCATCACAATGGCAAACCCGGCCAGAACCAGGAAGACAAAGATCAGCCCCAGCGAGTACCAGAGGTTCAATTCGAACACCCGGCCACGGCTCTCGCCGCTTTGTTGCACGAATGCCAATATCTTCAAGCCGACCACCGGCAGCACGCACGGCATCAGGTTGAGGGCCAGACCGCCAATCAGGCCGTAAAGAATCATCAGTGGTAGCGAACTCTGGGAGGCTTCCTCCGCCCCCTGCACGTTCAATGCACCGAGATCGAGTGAGGTGGGACGCTTTTCGTTCCACTCCTCAGAAAGCTTGGCTGCCTGGCCATAGCTGCCCTTGGTGAAGCGAAGCGGGACAGCGCCAGCTTTCTCTGCGTTTCCGACCGTCACAGGAACTTCGAAGTTCGCCCCCCGAGGCATGTCGCAGGTTTCGTCGGAGCAGCTTTGATAACCGATAACCCCTGAGAGTGTATGCTCGCCCGGTTGGGCATCTTCGGGAACTTTAACTTCGACGGTCCAGGTGACGGGACCTTCGTAGTAGCGCACCTGCTCGCCGGCAACATCGTGCTCGACAATGGGCTTATCAGCACGGGGTGAACTCCACTCCCACTGGGTATCTTCGGCCAGGGCGATCAGTGCCGGTTGGGCAGTTTGCTCGCCGCGAGTGGGCTGCCAAGCATACGTGTGATAGCCGGCCGATGGCACTGCCGTGAGTTGAAGCTTGAGCGTGCTACCGGGAGTGACCTCGGCGTGATCGATTTGACCACGGATGGTGGTCTGGGAGAGGTTCTCTTTGAACTCACCCACACTCACAGGCTTGTTGCCAGCCGGTTTGGCCACCGGTGTGACGGAGGGCTGTGCTTGCGGAGTGGCCATCCCCGGCCCGAGCTTCGCCGTGAAGGGGAAGTTCGTGGGCGGAAGACAACCGCGGTCGTTGCAGGCTTGGGCCATAAACTGTCCGCTGATTGTGACGTCGGCCGGATTCACCCCGGCGGCGAATTGAATCGGGGCCTGCCACACGACACGTCCGTCGTGCGTTTCAATCATCAAGTCGCCGAAGGCTTCCGGTTCCAACCCTAAGTGCGCTGCCGGTGTGGCTTCGAACTCACCGGTGATTTCGTACTGCGGGGAAGCCTCCGGGCGGATCTTCGTGGCCACCGGTCCGCCGGGCGGTTGCGTGACGGAGTAGATATGCCAGCCGGATGCCACGTCGGCTGCTACGTACAAGCGAGCCGGCTGCCCGTTGCTGGGGGCCGTGAATTGGGCTTCTACCTTGATTTGAGCTTGATCGTCCTGTCCGCCACCCGAGGCGCCGGCGTTCAATCCCTCGAAGCTCAGTTGTGCCAGTGCTGGTGCTGGGGCGAGGAAAGCCGAAGCAATCGCGACCAGGGCGATCCAAGCAGTAGTTCTTCCAAGCATGGGCAAGCGTGCAACTTCCCGGTTTTGGGCACGCATGAAGGCGACTCCTCTGAACGAACGCTTCGCAAGAAAAACAGGACGGATCGTCTTATCACATTTGGACGACGGAGCCAGCCCGAATTATACCTGGACGGCTCCCAAACCGGTGTTTAGCAGGGCAACTAAGTCGTTTCTCTGGAACTGGTTATTTTATGAATTGCCGGCTGCCCGGGTCAATTGCGTGCTGAAAGCCTTAAAAGGCCAGCGCTTACAGTTCTACGTAGTCGAGGCGGACGGGGTTTTGAATTGCCGATCGGTCGAACACCACCCGAAGGACCTATACGAAGTCGCCCTGGGAAGGCAAGCAATGCAACCGCTGGAGGAGAACCTTCACTCGGGCTAGCACCGCCGTCGGGTTGTCGAAGTGTCGCTGCTGGCAGTAGATCCAATCGAGCCAGTTCACAGCCGAAAGCAGCACCTCGCTATGGTCGAACGTCGGGAGCACGAGCCGCTCATTCTCACTCAAAGGGCGCACCGCTTCGTAGGCGGCCAATGCGGTTTTTCGCAGTTGAGTACTGTCGCCAACAAGAGAACCCAGGGCGCGGGCCACATCGCCGACCGGCGACTCGATACGTAGCGAACCGAAATCGACGATGCCCGTGAGGTTGTCACCTTCGAACAAGAAATGGTCCGCTCGCAAATCGCGGATGGAAGGCTGCAAGGGTAAAGCGATGGTCTCTGCTGATCGCAGCGCGGTTTCGATCTGCTGCAGCCTGCAAGGAACCATGCGGATGATCTCACGAGCGGGTTGTTCAAGCTCGGCAAACACGCGGGGCGAAATGGCCGCTTCGATTCGCTGAAGACCACCCTTGAGGAGCGCGACGACCTGTTCTTGTCTCGCAATCAATCCCGGCGAAACACCGAGCCTCTGCTCCATGCCGGGCACGTTGTCGGCGGCCAGATGAAATTGGGCCGTACCCGCGAGGGCGGCTTCCAGTCGCGGTTCGGTTGGATGTTCCTCAAAGTCGGCAGAACCCGGCAGCCACGGGGTGAGTTCGTAGAGATATCTGGCCTGCTCGACAAACGAGGGGCCCGCCAGGGTGGGGATGGGAACTGGGATTATGCGCAAACCTTCTCGGTACACTTGCCGTAGAACGTGATGAATCTGCTGGAGACGTTCGACACTGGGGTGCTCTGCAGGCCAACGCCTGAGGCACAGGGTTCCGCGGGAGGAAGCCATCCGCCAGAATCGGGCACCGCTGAAACCACCTGCGGTTCCCAGCGATTCAATTTGCTGTGGTTGGTACTCGGCCGCGTAGTGCGAGAGTACCGCTTGAAGGTTGTCGGGCATGATTCGCTCGGGAGAACGCGGACAGCCGGTCCAAGCCATTGAGCCGCTGCAAACCAAGGTTTCAGACTTATCGTAACCAGCGAAAATCTGTTTCGCAGGGTGTACCGTCTGTACGGGCCCCGTTGTAATTTGTGAGTGACTTTGACGTCTTGAAAGGCTGCACGGGCCAGGGAGTATGGGGTATATTTTACGACCTACGTTACCCTCCTTGCGCTCCGACGGCCCTCCCACGTCGTCTGAATCGACCCTCTGACGACGCCAAAACCGAATAACGAAGTGAGATTCCCTATGCCCACCGGACACAGTCGAATTGTGAAGTGCTGCGTTTGCCTTGCCGCTGCAGTTCTGGCGCAACCTGCCCTGAGTTATGCAGCGGATGAAGAACCGGAGGGCGCCCCGAAGGTGGCCGTGGTGGAGGCAGTCGATAGCGACATCGCCAAGGGGGAGGATAAGCCAAAGTACCCGCCGTTCTCCGACGTGGTGAAAGAACCGAAAACCACCGAAGGTTTGCTGAAGCTGCACGAGAGCAAGTCGAAGCTGTTCGCCGAGCTGAGTCCTTCGCAGTTTGACCAAGACTATATCGTGGTGATCTCGATCGCCCGCGGTATCGCCCAGGGCTCGCTGTTGGGCGGCATGTCGTGGGGATTCGGTGACGACTGGATCTGGCAGTTCCGCCGCGTGGACGACAAGGTGCACGTCGTGCGGCGCAATGTGCGATTCACCGCCGACTCGGGCAGCCCTTCTGAGGAGGCTGTGAAGCACGCCTATACCGACAGCATTCTGTTCAGCCTGCCGATTGCGGCGATGAACGGTTCGAATGTGGTCGTGGACCTGACGCCGGTGTTCTTCAGCGACCTGCCGCAAATTGGCAGCGTGATGCCGGGCTTCCACTTCGCGGCTGACAAGTCGACCTGGTCGCAAGTCAGCGGGTTTTCGAACAACGTGGAAATCGAAGTGGCTGCCACTTACGCCTCGGGCGGAATGGCCGACATCGACACGGTGCCTGATAGCCGTGGTGCGACGATCAACGTTCACTACTCCATTAGCAAGTTGCCCAAGACCAGCTACAAGCCGCGACTGGCCGACGATCGCGTGGGCTACTTCCTCACGGTGGTGAAAGACTTCTCGAAGGAAGGCGACTTAGATCGCTTCGTCCGCTACATCAATCGATGGGACCTGGAAAAGGCCGACTCCTCGGCCGAACTGTCGCCGCCGAAGAAGCCGATCATCTTCTACCTTGAAAAGACGATCCCCTACGCCTATCGCAAGCCGATTCGCGAGGGCATCGAAGAATGGAACAAGGCTTTTGAAAAGGCCGGCTTCCTGAACGCCATCGAAGTGCGTCAGCAGTCGGAAAGCGATACCTGGGAACCAGAAGACATCAATTACAACACGTTCCGCTGGATCACCTCGAGTGCCGGGTTCGCCATGGGCCCCAGCCGGGTGAACCCGCTGACGGGACAGATTCTGGATGCCGACATCATCTTCGATGCCGACTTCATCGAGCATTGGAAGATGGAGCAAGAAACCTTCACGCCCGAGTCGATTGCTGCCATGACTGGCGGTCCGCTGAACTTGCAGGACTACCGCAAGCAAATGGACGCCGTTCCGTCTCACTTGCGATCGTGGGCCAACTGCCGCTGCGATCGTCATCATGCCTTAGCCGATGAACTCTCGCTCGGTTCGGCCGTGCTTAATGTGCACGCCGCGTCGGAAGGGGCGAGTGAAGCCGACACCCAGAAGCTGATCATGCAAGGTCTGAAAGAAGTGACCATGCACGAAGTCGGCCATACCCTGGGGCTGCGGCACAACTTCAAGGCCAGCACCTACTACACACTGGACGAGTTGAACGATCCGGAGAAGACCAGCAAGACCGGCCTGTTGGCCTCGGTGATGGACTACGCACCGGCCAATATCCGGAAGAAAGGCGATCCGCAAGGCGACTTCTACTCGACCACGATTGGTCCATATGATGAATGGGCCATCGAGTACGGCTACAAACCGCTCTCCGGCGGCACCAATGGAGAAGTCGAAGAGCTGAAGAAGATCGCCACCCGCTGCGGCGAGCCGGGCCTGACCTTCTCGACCGACGAAGACACCCGCGGGATCGACTCCGACCCGTTGTCGAACCGGTTTGATCTTGGAAAAGACCCGATCGAGTACGCGAAGCTGCGGGCCGAATTGATCAGTTCGCTGTGGCCCGACCTCGTAGATCGCCTTGTGGATGATGGCGACGGCTATCAGAAGGCACGTCGGGCGTTCGGCGTGTTGCTGGGCAATCACGGCCGGGCGATGTTCTTCGCCTCGCGATTTGTGGGTGGCGTTTACGTACACCGCGATCACAAGGGCGACGAGAATGCCAAGGCTCCGTTCGAAGTAGTCACGGCCGAGAAGCAACGCGAAGCCCTGGCCTTGCTCGAAGAGCAGGTGTTCAGCGACGAGCCGTTCAACTTCCCGCCCGACCTGTACAACCACTTGGCGGCCACGCGGTGGAATCACTGGGGTCTGCCCGACCAAGAGCGGCTGGACTACCCGGTGCACGAAGTGATTCTGATGTGGCAAGATCGAATTTTCGATCAGCTTCTCTCGTCACTCACCCTGACCCGACTGCACGACAGCGAGTTGAAGGTGGACGGCGAAGCGGAGGCCTTCACCACTGCCGAGTTGCTGGAACGGTTGACCAACATGGTCTTCGCCGAAGTCGATTCGATGGAAGCCGGCGAGTACGACAACAAGAACGCGGCCATCAGCAGCTTGCGACGCAACCTGCAGCGGCGCTACTTGGAGCACCTCGCCATGCTGGCCCTGGGTAACACCAACGCCCCAGAAGACTGCCAGACGGTGGCCTCGTTGCAGTTGGAACTGCTGGGTGACCGCATCGACGAAGTGGTCGAGAGCGACATCGAGCTGGATACCTACACGCTGGCTCACTTAATCGACACCTCGCGTCGGATTGGCCAAGTGCTTGATGCTCGCATCGAGCTGGCCCGACCGTAGTCGATGTAGTTGTCTCCAAAGTTTAAAACCTGACTCATTAGCGGCGTCTCCAGAGAGGGCGGTTCAGTAACCAGAGCTGGACCGCCATCTCGAGACGTTTTCTGCTTTCTCTTCCCGCCGCGAATCCGGGGCGATTCGCCTTCTCGGCAGCAGGTTGCGGATTCTTTCCGAGTGCTCCCATTCTCCAGTCAGCAGATTTTGTTTGACTCAGAATTGTTAGCTTGCTAAACATTAGGGCTGTGGCCCAATTCGGAAGGCAGCTTTGCGGAGAAATGTCATGGGTAGGCGATTCTTTCTCTTCGGCCTTGTGATCGTAGGCTCGGTCTGCGGTGTTAGAGCTGCCGACCTCGATATCTCAGACATCGAGCCCGATCCCGCGAAGGGGTTCGAGATTTTGATGACCGTTCCCATGTCCGACCCGTTGATGAAGGTCGAAGATTTGGACCGCATCTGGATGGTTTGGGAACCAGAACTGCGCAAGCAAGCTGAGTCGGCGACCCCTGAAGAGCGGAGGGAAATGCTGTTCACCCGATACGGCTGGGTGGAACGCGATTTCGACGATTCGGGGCTTCCCATCGGCTACATCGACGATGGCGAAGGCAACTTGGTGAACAATTGCCTCTCGTGCCATGGCGGCAAAGTGGCCGGCATGAACTACCCCGGCCTCGGCAACTCGCACTTCGATCTGACCACGCTGGTGACCGACATCGTCCGGCTGCAGGCGATGGACCGTGGTGAGGAGTTTGAAGAGATCGAAAGTATCAAAGCCACGTTCGGCACGCCCTACAACATGGCCAAAGGCGTTTCGAATGCCACCATGTTCGCCTTCATTCTGGGGGCGCTACGTGATCAACATCTCGATCTGCGCGACAAACCGACCGACCCCAGTTCGATTCTGGTTCACAATGATCTAATCGCCCCGCCTTGGTGGCACTACAAACACAAAGACAAGCTCTACTGTGATTCGTTCGGCGGGAAGTCTCACCGAGCGATCATGCCATTCACCATGTCGCCGGGAAACACGGGCGAAGACATTCGCGGTTGGGAAGATGAATTCGTCCATATCAAGGCCTACATCGAATCGGTCGAACCGCCGAAGTATCCTTTCGATATCGATACTGAACTGGCCGAGAAGGGACGCCTGGCGTTCAACGATACCTGCGCCCGTTGCCATGGCTCGTATGGTGAAGAACGCGACTATCCGAACGTGGTGGTGCCCATCAAGGAGATCGGTACTGATCGCGTACGTTTCGATGCACTTCCCTCGTTCGCCATCAACGGCGGCAACTACAACTGGTTCAGCAACTATGGCAAGAACCGCCTCGATCCACGCAAGGTTGGTTACATCGCCCAACCCCTCGACGGGATTTGGGCCAAGGCCCCGTACTTCCACAACGGCTCGGTGCCCACGTTGCACGGGGTGCTGAACTCGGCCGACCGGCCGACCGTCTGGAGACGCGTGGACGAAGGGTACGATCAGGAGCAGGTGGGACTGGTCTACGAGACGGTCGAGAGCGTCCCTGAGGGGCTGAACTCGACCGAACACCGCTCGTGGTACGACACCACCACCCACAGTCACGGCAACGGGGGCCATCTGTTCCCCGACGAAGAGCTCGACGCGGAAGAGAAAATCGCCGTGATTGAGTATCTGAAGACCTTGTGAGCCGGTATGGCCAGTGCGGAGAGTCACCGCTCCGCTCGGCGGGGCTGATAGCAGTTTGAACATCGTGAGAGCAGTGTTAAAGCTAACGGCTCGAGCTGTTCTAGCCGCCGAGGCCCGCGCGGGTTATCCTACAGGCATGCCTGCCGCTTCGATTGCGCCGTTCGAGCACGGTGCTCCCCCCGGGCAACTCGCAAGGTGGAAGACTGACGGCCGTGAAAATGGTGATCGCAATCATTCAGCCTCCCAAGACCGACGCGGTTCGCGATGCGCTGTACAAAATCGGGGTCACGCGGATGACCGTGTGCGACGCCATGGGCTACGGTCAGCAACGCGGCCACACAGCCTTGTACCGGGGTAACGAGTACAGCACCAATCTGCTGCGGAAGACGGCTCTGGAAATCATGGTGAACGATGACTTTCTCGATCGCACTATCGAGACCATCATCAGCGTCGCCCGTACTGGTCCTGAGGGAACCTTTGGCGACGGGAAGATCTTCGTCATCCCGGCAATCGATGCCGTGGAAGTGGGCCAGGTCAAGCGTGGGCCTGGGGCCGTGTGATCTGCGATGTCGCTGGCCCTCCTGATTACTTCCGACCTGATGCTCTCCTCGCAAGCCACAGGGGCTGCAAGCCGCGCTGGTTGTGAGCTTCGCGTGCTGCCCAACGTTGATGCCGCTCTGAAGGTGATGGCCGAACAGTCTGTTGGTTTGGCCGTGCTCGATTTGGGTACGCCTGGTAACGATCCTGAAAGCGTGTTGCCGCAGCTACGACAGGCTTCAAAAGAAGTTGCGGTGGTGGCCTTCGGCCCGCATGTGCACAAACAGCGTCTTGCGGCAGCTCGCGACGCTGGGTGCGAGATGGTGATCTCGCGGGGGCAGTTTCATGCCCAGGCGGAAGCGATCTTTCGCGAGTACTGTGCTGCAAGCGAAGACTGAAACGCTACGCCGTGTCAGGGGCCTGAGTTTCGTCTTCAGCTAGCACGGGGACACCAGCTTCGTCCGTGTGGATCGGTGGCAACGGAGCGACCTCGGTCGGTTCGTCTAGATAGACGTTGTCCAGCTCGGTGGCATCGTTCGATCTTCTCAGCAGCAAGTAGATCGCCGTGGCTGTGGTCCAGAAGTAGCTGTAGGCGAAGCCGAGCATGAGCAGCTTGACGAACCCTAGCGTGAGGGCGAAAAAGTCGAGCCCCAGTTCAGCCGTGCGGCTGAGGTCCTCGGGTTTGGGGGTGACGACGGGTGACACCACCAGCGGCCACTCAGCGGCCTGCTGCGACCATGCCATCACTTCGTTGACGCGTTCGTGCCCACTGCCCCACGACATTCCCCATACCGTGAATTGCACGGCCAGCGCGACAAACAGCACGATAATCGCCCAGGCGAAAATACCAATGATTCCGCTGACTAGGGCGTACAGGCCGTAGTGCAAAGGGCGTTGAAAGGTATAGGCATAACTGCGGCTGATCGCGTCGAAGGCATCGCTGGCTTCCACGCTGATGGCCGCCCACATCAGCGGCCACCCCAGGGCGAGCCCCAACAACAGCACCGCCGAAGGCAGCCCGACGATCAGCAGCACCAGCGGGAAGATGATGCCTGAAATCAGCAGGCCCACATCGCCGGCGGACATGATCAGACCGGGGATCACTGCGAAGAGCACGGCCACCACGGTGACGCCGAGCAGCGGAAGCAGAATCGCTGATAGATAAGAAAGCCCCCGCCGTCGCGCGTGCGAAAATGCGTTGGCCAGCGATAGTCGCTCTTCTCTAGTGAGTTCGACAGCCGCAATGCGGGTGATGGCAGCGCCGAGGAAGCTCCACACCAATGCCACCCAGAACGCGCACAACAAGGCCACGGCCAACGCCGACCAGGGGGCCTCGGGGGTAAACAACCAACGGAACGGGCGACTGAGATGCTCCCACGGCGTCAACACCGGGTTGACGATCAGCCAGCCTTGGGCGTCGTCGAGGAGCGTATTCTCTGTATCGACGGGGAGGTCCTGATTCGAGAGCAGTGCCTCGGCAGTTTCGTCGCCAGGGAATAGCAGGCCAACGCCATGCCATCCGTACAAGGTCAGGACGATGGCTAGCGAAGCGATGACGATCTTTCGTGGGTCGCAAGCCAGACGAAAGGTGCGCAACAGAAGCAGGCCCGGGAAGATGTCATTCCAGGCGATGTCGCGAACTGGGCCACTCCGATAGGCCATGAGAAAAGCTCCCCCGATCTCGATCCGTCAAGATAACTGGGGGGCATTATGGAAAATGCGAGGAAATCGTGCAAGAACAGCAAGTACGGTGACTGTAGGAGTCCGTATTGTTGCTGGTCGAGAAGACTCGTGCGTTACCGCCTTGAACAGCGTGAAACATCAGGTGAAGCGCATGAAAATGGCGGACGACGGTGGCACACCTCACGGGCAGTTGGCCCGTGTCGGACTGCCCCTAAGGCCTGGAGAATACCTCCCGTCGTCCGCCAGAGAATTCACAATCACTGGTTGAGGCCGCCCTAGCTCGCGCCGCAGGGAGCATCATGCAGTCGGCCGCCGGGGTGGGGGTTGAACGCCAAGAGAGGGCGGCGGTGACCGTCCGTGTCGCGGAGCCGAAACTACCGCGCGTACTAGGGAGGACCTCTAAACAAGTAAGGTGCGAAAGGATTGGATATGGGACACCAAAAATCTAAAAAATTCAGTGTTCGCAGAGCGGGCATCCTGGCAACACTCTATCACCTTGCCAGAAAACAAGTTCGGCGCACTGATCTGATGGTTGCTCAAGTAGAAAATTTCTTCTCTGAATGCTGATTTGAAAGGGGTGTGCGAATAAGCGCGTTCAAGACCCTACATCGAAGCGGGTGGACGTAGCTTTTGCGATGGATGCATGCGAAGCGTGTACACCAGGGGCTTAGTCGCCTGTGCTCGGGGGAGCTTCTCAGGTCTCTCATCCAGAGCTGTGTCACACAGACGGCAGTAGCAGATTACGTCGCGATTCGCGTCGGTTTCGTGCAAGAGGGTCAATCGTGCTACGCCCTTGGGAAGCCCTGAGGTTGATATGACAATTTCCTGTTCAGGTGCACATTGGCGTAGTGTTAACGCGAGTTGCTCGACGGTCGTGCTGGTGGTCGTGTCCAGGAAACTAAGCCTGCTCTTCGGTAATGCACTCAACATGGCCTCCTCCTAACTATGTAAGAGTTGAGACAGAGCGTCGCGCTCATGGTCTTCAAAGGCAGAAGATCGTTATCCACATTGCCTTGACCAACTATTCCGTGGAAGAGTCGGTTGGCCTCCCTGAGGCGCTAGCGATCTCTCCCAGCACCAGGTCCCTGAGGATTCGTCGATTGCGAGGAGAGCGTCGGCGAGTGTGTTGAGCCGTAGAAAAGCGACGTGTGTAACGACGTGAAACCAGCTTTTGTTCGTCTTGATCGGGCTGCGCTTCGAAATCGTCGATGTCGTTCACCGTGGGATGAGCATGATGTTCTGATTGTTTTTTCATTGCCATGACTCTCGCTCGCTTTCTTGGGCCTTGGTGGTCCTAGAGAATAATCAGGTTGTTGGTTAAAACGCTTGCCTGCAGTGATGCAGCCCACACCCGCGAGCGCCCTATACAAATAGGTGCGCAGGAGCCAGCAAAGCGGAACCAAAAAAGAGACGAGTTTGCGACTTCATTTACATTGTCGCATTGCCGCCAGAGACGGTCAGCGCGTTCAATTCGCGAGGTATTTATCGTTGGATATTGTTCTGCGGCTGCAGTTTGCCCGAGCGAGCATTGCTCAGTTCGGCGCAGGCCAACAGAGAACGCTGATGGTGCCTTGATTATCTTCGGAGAGACTGTAGAGAGTGTCTCCCGTGCTGTTAAAGCACACGGCGTTGACCGGGAGGTGGTGGCCCTCAAGAGTCATCATTTCTTGGGCGGTGGCCGTATGCCACAGTCGAACGGTGTGATCGTCTGCTCCGGAAGCCAGCAGTCTGCCGTCGGGCGAAAACGTTAAAGAGCTAACGTCGGCGGTGTGCCCTCTCAGCACGCCTAACTCACTTCGGTCCGAACTCCGAAATAAGACGATCTCATTTCCGTTTGAAATCGCAAAAACACTATCGTCTGAACTGAAGGCGCAATGTCTCGCTCGCCCGACGGAGTTCCTTGAAACCAATTCCGGCGCTTGAGCTGACAGGTTCCACAGATAAACGGCTGATTCTGTGGTGATCGCAGCACTTCGCCCTTGTGAGTCGAACTTGCAGAGGGTGACGTCGGACGGGAACGCGAATCGTAATTCTTGGGCGGTACTCGAGAACGGTTCGATGACCAACTCATTATCGGTCGTTCCGCGACTGGCGCGCCGAGAACCTGAGATTGTGATGTCAAACGAGTTGAAGCCCGTAATCTCGGTGTGAAGTTGTGGTGCATCGTGAGACAACGCCCAAACGCGACACCACCCATCATCCTCGGGACCGAGCGCTAGTAGCATCATTCCATCATCAAGAAATCGGAGGTGATGCAGCACGCTGCGATCCCGGCCTGGGAGTTTGATGGGTTCTCCAGGCGACTCAATTCCCTGCAACTCGATCGACCCATCCTGATGAGCAACTGCCACCCATTTTCCATGGGGTGATAGTGTCTTGGGCTGCGAGATTGATGTCTGGATCTTGATATTCGCGTCTTGATATCCCCGTGCTGCACCGTCTAACCTCCACACCCAGGCTTCGCCATTCTGCATCGAGGCAACAATTCGGTCATTTGAAGGAGAGAAGCGAACCTCGTTCACACTAGAGTCGTGCCCTTTCAGTTTGTGCAGCAATTGCCTATTGGCTACGTTCCATACGCGAATGACAGAGTCGGTGCCGGAGATTGCCAGGAGCTTGTCGTCCGAGGAGAAGGCCAGAACCTTGCTGTCGGATGAATTAACAAAAGGTGGGCTGACAGTTCCCTTTTGAAAGTCCATGACCCAGGACTGCCCCCCTGTTTCGACCGCGACGAGTTCCGAGCCAGAATGGTTGAACGCCATGGCAGCAATTGGAGTTGG